ATAGGGATTTAATCTGGAGCCTTAGCCTTTGGCCTATTAAAACATAGTGACTTAATAAAGTCTAGAAATTTAATTATATGGATGTTGTAGTAAGAGTGCAAATTTTATAAAATATTATTTTCTGTGCCTTTATCAAGTGTTTAAAAGAGGTCCTTGCATAACTTTTTAAGTTATTTTACTTATCATTTCGCATCAATTGTTAGTCAGACTTAAAGTCGCATATTGACAAGAAATAAAGAATTACCAAATATACAAAAAAACGTATGTTCTTTAATATACTAAATAAAGGCGGCAAATTAACACATTTTCCCAAAAATATGGGGTCTACCAATAAGAACGTCCTGGTTTAAAAATTGAATAAAACACACAATTTTCTATGAAAAATGCATCCGATTTATTTATTTGATAGATAATTTTATACAATTTATGTTTTAAATAATATATCGGCCAAATGACCACCACCACAGACCACGGCTCTTTTTGCAGACGGTTAATTGGCTCACGCCAATTTTCGATGACGCGGTGCACCATTTCGGCTGGTATGTCGGCTATGGCTCGTCGAATGTTGATTTTTAGGTCACGAATTGTAGCTGGATTATTGATGTACACTTTAGATTTAACGTAAGCCCAAAGAAAATGTCTAAAGGTGTTAAATCACACGATCTTGGTGGCCAACTGATCGGTCCATTTCTCGAAATTAACGACTCACCAAACTTTCCACGCAATAATTCCATGTTCACTCGAGTAATGTGATGTGGTGCACCGTCTTGTTGAAAATAAAGGTCGTCTGCATCAATATCATCAAAATCCGTCAATAAATATTCGGTTAACATCGAGTTATAGCGCTCGCCATTCACAGTAACAGGGTTTCCTTCGTCACTTTCAAAGAAGTACGGACCAATGATTCCACCGTACCATAAACCGCACCAAGCTGATGGTGATTCATGAACCACACGTGGATTTGACTCACTCCAATAGCGACAATTTTGTTTATTAACAAATCCATTGAGCCAGAAATGGGCCTCATCTGAGAAGATGATTTTACGATGAAATCGTCATCGGCTTTTCAAACAAAATGTAAATTTTGGTACTGCTTAAATGTCAACATGCTAGAACCAAAGGGTATATAAAATAATTTAAATATGTTTAGCTAAGAGGGTAATCCCTTGCTAAATAAATAAGACTTCTATATTGTTATGTAATTCTAGTGATCGGTATACGTACGTAAACGCTTACCGTGCTTCATTAAACATGTAAAAAGTTGTGCAACTGGCTTGCCAATGATACACAAGAAACGGGCTCGTATCAATTTAGCATCGTATAAAAAGTTACTCAGCAAAACCCAGGAGTACATTACGACTGAGATGTATAAAGCTAAGATAATTCAGTAGATACTTGTAAATTTAAGATAAATACTACGTAAATTTTAAATGTTGCAATTATTTTAGCTATGCAATTGTTTAATGCAGCAGACTTTATTAAAATATTAATATTAATTTGTTGGCATATATGGCATTCACAATGGCTTCTATCCTTATGGTATAATTAGATATAACTATTTTTATCAAACATACATTCATAAAGTAAATACATATTTATAACAGGGCGTTGTAGGTCTTATACGTATTCTTATTTTATAGACAGTAAGTGCAAAAGATCAAACCAAAGGCTCTAAAAACTAGACCCCTATTGGCGTATTTATTCGAAAAACGTCTCTATCAAATTTATAAAGTGGGCATATGCATATTCGCAAAATTCTGAACCCCTTTGCTATACATTTCAATACTATTTTATTTTTAGAAAGTACCTAATGAAAAAATAAACTATACAAAATATATTATTTAAGGATTTCGGAAGTATAATTTAGACATAGCACCAGTACACTTGTCCCAAATTATACACAGTTTATGGGCTTAAACCATTGATATGTCTAGATAGGTTGTCAACACAGTGAAAGCGTCGAAAAAATTGTAACAACAAACTATTTGTTACTTAATTCTCCCCTGTTATCGCTCTGTGTGCGTCAGCGGAAAAGCGAGTGTAGGTAAAACATTTCCATTCTTCCCATTCTATCTATAGTGCTCGAGGCCTGAGAATTTGGTAGGTGCAGAATTTGTATACAGACATAAGCTGCTAAGACCTCTATAGTCCGGCTTCAGGCCCAGTCACAGCACTGTTACCACCATCCTTAAAGTGACTGGTGATATTAGGAAAGGCATGGAAGACACCAAAGTTACAGTTTTGATCTTAGTTGGTTTTTACAATGCCTTCAATACAAATGTCATCAATTTGTCAGTTACAAATCCTACTATCAATCCTTATAAATCTTAAGATTCCCCCAGAAGCACTGGAATAGTTCTCCACATATCTTTAAGGGCGACAGCAGTGTGTTCGTGTTCAAAACTTGTCATCGAGTTGGTGCAACCTCTACACTGGCGTCCCTCAAGGCAGAATTTTATCTCCTTTATTCTCTGTATTGATCAAACTTTTTTCTCTCACTGTATCACCCATATGTCGATGATCTGCAGCTGTATTCACAGGCAAGGGTGAAGGACATATCGCGAGCCAATATCAACATCAAAAAGGACCTAGACTTCATAAATTCCTGATTGATGAGATTCGGATCGTCAGCAAACCCCACCAGGCAATCATAGGAGGAACCAAAAATATGATTAGCAGATTAGATACAGCTTTAATCCCACCGGTCGTCTTCATCAGCTCAGTTATACCTTGATTGGCTTGCTCAAGTTACTCAGGTGAGTCAGAATGTAACCGGAAACCTGCGTCCATTTACCATCTTAAGAATTTCCTGCCTCCTAAAACGAAAATATCTCTCATGTAGTCTCTGATTATTCTTATAATTGACTATGGTGATGTGTGTTACTTCGACCTGAATGCAGACCTCCTTAATGAGATAAACCGTCTTCTTAATAACTGCATTAGATACATATGCAATTTTCGTAAGTATAACCATGTGTCTGCTTTATGTTATCAACTATCCTTATTTACAGTGTACGAATATAAAGCATATGTATTTATGTATATTATTATGTATATATTTTTGTATGTATGTATGTAATGGTATATATTATTAATATAACTACTATTATAACTGTAACCTCAGTGCACCTACCTTACCAGATTTCTACACCAACCAAAGATTGGCTTGTAGAGTAAATAGGGCATTCAGTCCTCGGGCACGCCGTCATCGCGCCGGTAAGACCCGTTAATGGCGGATTGGCTCGAGAGGCGTCACGGGACCCTCTCATACCGACTGACGCAGGTGATCACTGGGAAAGGATGTTTCGGGGATCACCTGTGTCTGATCCGCAAGGAGCCAACTCCTGAGTGCCACCACTGCGATGGCTAGACCGTGGACACGGCTCTCCACACGCTGCAGAGTGCCCGGCGTGCGTTGAGCAGAGGCGAGACCTCGTGGTGGCCATCGGAGTGGGAGTTCTCTCGCTCGATAGCCTGATTGCGGCTATCGTGCGGAGCGAGAGTGCGTGGAACTCTGCCGTCTCCTTCTGCGAGCAAGTTATGCTCGCGAAGGAGACGGCGGAGCTCGACCGGGAGAGGTTTAGGACTCTCCCGGTCCGCCAGGCCCGGGAACGGGCCAGGTACCGCAGGCGACTCAGGCCTCAGGCCAATCGCAGGCCTGGGGGTGACAGGTGAGGCCAGCTGTCACCCTAGCAGAAGCAGGCCGTAGTGGCGGCGAGACGCGCTGCCGAGCGCGCGCGCCCTTTTGGGAGCACAAAGGGAACATGGGGGTTCCCACACAGGAGGGGGTCATCTACACGCCGCGGATGGCCCGAGGTACATCGGGGTAGTTTCGGTCGGAGGTCGGAGTTTTTGGTCAGTTCGAATCCGACATACTCACGCCACCGGTGGGTGATATCCGCTAGGAATTCCACACAGGGAAAAAAATCGGTTGTATATAATCGTCTAGACTCATACAAATGAATAAATCTCTAACAAATAAAGAATACAATAGTATATAGAACCTACACTTACAAAAACCACAAATTTAAAAAAAGGGATAAGACTCGTAACTAAAAGAATTTGTTTTTTTTTCGTCAAAAATTTGTCGCGTGGGATTATCACCCAAATGCGAGAATTCCGCAGGTCTCATTGACATGCGGGCAACCGCGTGATTGCGGGGACGCGAAATTACAAACCCTAATTCGAATAATATATATTGCTCAATGTTACAAAAGCTGTCGCTTATTCCCGCTTGGTTTTTAAGCGTCGATATTTGTATATTTCTTTTTCTGTAATTAACATTTTGTAAATAGAAAGGTCTTTTAGATAAAACTAATGCAAAAGTATTTAGGTATCTATTAATTCTTCACAAGAATCCAATTTAGGAGATCTACCTAATGTTGCCTTGTCATTATTTCAGTTAGTTAGGTAGGTAGATGTGTTAATGGTTAGCTCATTCAAAGATAACGATTAACACATCTATTAACGACACGAAATCAATTTGACTATATGGCTTAATAACTAGAGGCATGAGATGACTATTTACACTTAAAATTTCTTCTTGTGTTTCAACATTTTTATAATTATTTATACAAATATCCTTAAATTGAACTAAGAATTTATTATTTGTTCTAGATAAATCTAAATTGAAAAAAGAATTTATACATAACGTATAATTGTGATTGGGATAGTATGGATACATTTAATAATAATAACCAAAAAATATTATGCTTCCTTGTGAGACTGATTAAAAGATATTTAATTAAATTTCATTACTGCATGTGCTACCGTTCGTAAGTTTTAACAAAAGTCCTAAAAAAGGAATATCTACCGTCCTTACGCAATCCCAAGACGCACTGACGAGGCTATCGACCTTCCCACAGTTACTTGAAATAACTGTTAAGTTGTTGGAAATAACTTTGTAAAGCACTGGGCAACCGGTGGATCAAGCCAGTCGTGCATGTCCACGGGACTTGATCGCAATTCCTATCACTTACTAAGTAACATTAATATCAAAGATGTGTGAATTTATAGCTCTCTCGCTAATATTATTTTCTGTTTCATTTGTAATAACGGACTGCTCGTCAAGCTTTGATCAGCGACAAACTGGAGATTTTAATGTACAAATTGGATTGAAGAATATACAACTAATTGCTTTACTAAAAGGCGGGAAAGAAGAATATGTGGTAAGTATACAGAATATCAGTTAGTACTCGTAGTTATCTACCATAGCTACTAATTACGTTGTTGCTTCTGTTAATTTAATATGCTGAGACGTTCAATTAGAAAAATTCCGAATAAGCTTTCAGAAGTAAAACTTAGTAAAAAAGTAAAAAAAAATATGTAAAATACCTTAGTTTGTTTAAATTTATTACGCAAGGGTTATGTAAATTTTATCGGCAGAGGAATCACGACTGCGTATTCTGGATCAGTATTTTGTTGTACAATTATATAAATATATAATTCATCTATAGGTTACCCTGCTAATTAAATTTCGACCACCACTTATTAACTTTAAATATTTTGTTTTATATCAAAGACCAGTAAGTAAAATTTGAGCTGACATTGTTAAGAATTTTCGTATCACGACAGACTCACATTTGCAAACGAGCTTAGCTTGGCTTAGCTTTGCGCGCATTATGTCACAGTCTACTCATTAAATTTATGACTTGTTAATGGTTATTGAAAAACATTATCTCTTGTTATCCATCTTCTATCCATTTTCTTTCCATTGTATATCCATCTTGGGCCGAGGGTTTATTACATTCTCATACTTAAGTATCTATGGTAAATATTTCGATTTTTAATTAGAATTATTATTTGTTTTTCAGGATTACGATTATGCTTATGATTATTCAGAAATGACGATAAAACCACAAAACGGTACTACACCGAAACCGTTAAACGTAGCCAGCCCGCAGGTACCAAGTAATGGAACTACAGTGGCATCAGTTTTGGTTCAAAATGCTACTTCTACAGCTAATATTGTTCAACAACCCCTAAACTTATCAATATCACAGAACGTATCCAATCAACTTACAAATGTCACTGACCCCATCATTATCGACACAGAATTTACCAGCAATATTACACTCGCTAGCGATTCTGAAGTAATAAACAATAATGAGACATTATTTAACATTACTACTGTAAAAACCGGCGATAGTACACCGCAGACTAACGAAATGGCTAATATATCGTCTGCCACTTCTACGCATATTCCGGAAATTGTAGCTGTTGAGCCTACGACAGCAATACAAGACTCCCCGAATAATATAAGTGCAACACAGATCAGTCATTGTAGAAGAGGCTTTGTTCAAAATCACCAAGGAAAATGTGAATATAAAGGACATGGTACTACAAACGCGTAAGTACCTATATTAAATCATTTTAATTTAGTTTTATATGAAGCTTTAACAAGCAAATATTTTATAAAAGTCGTGTAGTAATACTACAAATTCAGTCTGTAACTATACATCAATATATACGTTTTTCAATAGGGAATTTAACATTTTATAGGTAATTTTACCGATCGAAAGCCGACTAAGTATTCCGCTGATAAGTATATTAAGTTGGTATTGCATATGACATTTTTAGTAGTTAATTCATTCTTGAAAGACGATATAACATTCATAATTTTACTAAAACAGTGAAATAACTACAAACAATACGTAACTTGTATCTGATACATTTAATAAGTATTAAACAGAAATATAAATTAAAGTAACCAAATTTCTGATAATTATATACTACAATATTGAAAGAAAACTTAATTATTAAAGTTTTCAATGTTTTAATTTTGAACTGCATTAATTCAAAATGATGCCATAATTGATACGATATAATTTATACATGCACTTTATTCTAAATCTAAATTGATGCAGTTTTTGAATAAAATAAAGTATATTAAATAATTAACGGATTCTAAAATAACAAGTAATTTTGTTTTATTCCACTTTTTTATTATAACTTTGAGGTTTTGAATTACACAAAAGCGGATCTTTACTGAACTAGATCTAGATCACTAGAAAATATAAAAAATACTACAAAGTGTACACGTACGAAAGCAAATAATAGATAATAATATTATACAAAAACTATTTAAGACTCATTTAACAATTGCCAATACATTTTCTGTGTCTGCATAGTCAAATTTACCTAAATATTCTGATAACATAATCTCACATTTTTTATTATTGAGGCTGTATATATTTAGTATTCTATTAATTTTATTGTATAAAAAAGGTCCTAAAAATAAATAAAATCTATGAACAAATGTATGACTAGCTTGAGGCCTGCTACACACTATTTTAGTGTAGCCATGATTAAAATATATGCATGCATTTTTTTTTATTGCTCTTTCTTCGGTATTTTATTTCATGGAGTTTATTGAGATTTTCTTTCAACAAACTTTACGAAGTAACTTTTTATGTATAGTGTCAGAAAAGTCTCTCTCATAAAAGCTTTAATGTACACTTCGTCCCCTATTGTCTTGGGTGGCAACATTCTGTCAATATCTTCTAACGAATTTGACTTGTAAGAAAAAAATGTACTCACCTTACAGTACAATTATAGCAAATTTTTGACTATATTTGATTTTACAGGTAATGTCAAATGTGTTTTGGGATATAATTGTAGTTTATTTTAACACAATGCTGTCAACTAACTCGTCTTAAAGTCTAACAGTTTTTATGAATTTAAATCGTACCAAGCCATGTAAATACTACGGTGTTTAATTCTATTTTGGTTTTTAATTAGATTTAAAATTATTAGAGGTAGGTACACCTCTAATAATTTAAAATCTAATTAAAAACTAAAATGGCGGTCATATTATCAAAAGCCTTACTTACTACTTAAGCATTTAAGCTCCTTTTTGGTGTAAATAGGAGACATGCAAACAAATTGACTAATTTTTTATGTCTCCGTTTCATGGAAACAGCTATGCATTGTTTCCTTTTCTTAACGGTACCTACCTATATTAGTAATAAAAATTCTAGTGAAATTTTGGTACAGATATTTATGTATCGACAATATTTACAAAACAATAGGAATAGTCGGGAGCACGCAAAGTGTTCTTTAATTCTACTTATCTACCGGGTTATGTAGGTTTAAAATATACTAAATGTGTGTAACATACGCACATCTAATTAAACCTAAGCCTAATAATTATGAAGCTGATTTCAATTTTGATCCCTCGTGTAAGTACCTAGTAATCATCTCATGATTCACGGGTGCCGCCCTGAGTATTAGATATTATGCGATAATTTGAGCGTGAATTGAAAATTTATTGTATTTTGAAAACTACAATACTTCGTTAAATGAAATATACAACTCAGGAATCACAATGGGTTCCGCTGGGCTCAATTCTCGGCCCATTTTTGTTTCTCGTTTATATAAACGACCTACCTAATCTAATAAAAGATAATCAGGAGATAGTGCTATTTGCGGATGACACTTCACTTTTATTTAAACTGTAACGACAGCAATCAGTTACGGACGATGTGAATAGCACTCTCTCTAAGGTAGTGACACACTGATGGATTGTCGAATAGACTCGGCTCTGCAGCATAAACGGTTTATGTAATATAAAAGTTCCTTATAAAAGCGTGTGCTGAGGGGAGTCTTGGTCGGACCCGTAGTAGTGGTATTGTGCCGTGACGGGAGGTCATCCGAGGTTCGATTAGGTTAAGATACTGACCGAAGCAACCGTGCCCGGAGAGTATCTGAGTCAATCGGTAGGTAACACAGTGGTCCGTCCAACGCGCCGTCGTCACAGCTCGGTGCACCGTATAGTGCCTTAGACTGGACAACCATGGTCTATTACTATAACTTATTGAGTAAACTACAGCTACATTTTTGTGTACACGCACTAGCCTCAATCTTCGTAGGTATTGGAAAAGCAAAGCAAAGAAGTAGTGGCATTTACGAAATATAAACCGTATATGTCAACCTTAAACACCTCTATAGAATGAAATTATTCTTTATATTGTGTAAGTATGTGCAATGTGCATCCTTACGGCATAGTTCTTTTTATGAAAGACAGATATTTTTTCTTTGTTAATAAAATTCTGTAACCTTTGTAACCTCGCGCCCCTAGGCACTTGCCTACTTTGCCTGAGGGATAATTCGCCACTGACCTCTACCTACCTATTCCTAAATAAATAAATTGAAGTGTCCGCCCGTAATGTATGAATATCAGCTTATTAATTTATGTGGATGTTCTTTGTACACCAAAACATTATATTGTCTGTCTATTTGGCCTGTTCAAATCTCCAAAATGGTCGCACCAATTGTCATGAAACTTGCAGTCAGTATAGCTAAATTTTTATGGAGTAATTTAAGGTACTTTCATTCATATTCATATTCAATAACTACATACACGAAATCTCAGACTTCCCAAGCTATTTAGAATGCAACTTGCTCTTACCAAAGTGGTCAAATACCTAGGAGTAATACTGGACAGTAAACTCCTGTGGAATAAGCACCTCGATGAAAAACTGAACAAAGCCTGCATTATCTTCTGTCAATGTTAACGGCTACTCGGCAAAAGCTGGGGACTATAACTCAAGATTACTCTATGGCTCTACAGAACAGTCATAAGACCAATAATCACTTACGGTGCTGTTGTCTGGTGGCAGAGAACAGAGCTAAGCACCGTCATAAATAAATTGCAGCAATTCCAGCGACTCCCATGCTCTGCGGTCACAGGCTGGAGGTGACTCTGGGTCTGCCCCCACTGGATTTATTCATACAGCAGGAGGCCGCCATGGCGATCATTAGACCCAGACACCTAGGCCTATGGCATAAAAGTGAGGGATCGCACTCCAAATTATGGGATCAATTGGTGGAATACGAACCACTAATAGCAGCCCCATGCGATAGAATCCCAAAACACCACATCTTCATAAAAATATACCATATCCAGATACAAGAAAATGACCGAGATCAATCCGGCATTAACGAAGTTCGAATTTACACGATGGTTCGAAGACTAGGTCAGGAACTGGAGCAGGAGTATTCTCGCAAGACCTAAATATGAACATATCACTAGCGTTAGGCCAACACAGTTCCATATTCCAATGCGAATGTGTGGCAATAACTTACGCCGCCACAACGGACATGTCAAGGAGTATCAAGGACTGTAACATTCGAATACTATCAGACAGCATGGCCGTCCTAAAGGCACTAGAGGGCAACACAATAACCTCTGGCATTGTCTTCGAATGCCATCAGGCATGCAATGCAGCTTGCCAAATTAAATGTGGTACTCCTCGAAAGGATTAAAGGGCACAGTAACTCACACTGGAACGATGCCGCAGATGAGTTGGCAAGGAGGGGCTTGGCAACCTCAGCTACCGGCCCAACCACACTCCTGTCAATACCGTTTAACCAAATACGATTCTAGGCCAGGCAACGGACTCGTGAAGCGCATAACCTGAAGTGGAAACACTCACCCGGCTGCAGAGAGTCCAAACTGGTGCTGACTCAAGTCACATAACGACTCACCTGCAGATTGATGAGTCTTAGCAGACTGGGAATCTGAATAGTTGTCGGAACTATAACAGGACACCTAGCCCTGAACCGACAACTATTCATCATCAATGCGACGGACAGCCCTCTGTGCAGGGGATGTCTGGAAGCAGAACAAACAGCCGCCCACGTAATCCTGGAATGCGAGGGAGTGGCCACACAACGGGCAAGTATCATTCCCGATACAAAATCGCTCCTAGGAGCTTGTGAACGCCCCAGGAGGCTTCTGCGCTTCTGGAAGGAGCTTGGTTGGCTCACCTAGCTAACCAGTCCTCGACGCATAAAGGAGCACTCTCGAGTCTAAATGCGGAAACCGTAGCCCAGAACCAAGAAACTACATACACGCAAGCGCCGTCGCAGCTTGGGCAACCAGAAATTAAATATGTTCATCAGGCAACGCTCATTTTATTATTAACGATGAAGTCATTTAATGTTGAAAACTTCCATAATTATTCAATTCTATGTATTGTTAACTTTTTGTACTTATCGTACCTACCTAGTACAGACTTACAGACGTACAAGGTAAATAATGATTACAAACTTTAAAACCGTAAATAACGATGAGGATATTGGGCCATTGCGCTCTCGTGCTATCGCTGTAGAGTGGGTATCAAATTTAAAAACTGTTTTGCTCATACAATAAATAATCAGGTTTCGTTCAGTATTAAGTTTCGAACTCCTAATGTAACTTAGATTTGCCAATAACAATCTTTTTGACACTCTGCCATAGATATTTTATCATTATATTTTCATACAATTCTCTTAGATTAGCCTTCTTTTTAATTCTTAGGCAGTAAGTAACCACAGATAGAGAATAGTATGCACCCATTACATGAGTGGTGTACAAACTCTAGTTTTCTCTATTCAGGAATTAAATTATTTTTATGGAAATCAAGGAAAATTTATATTATTTAATTTTATGTTTTTTTTAATAATAGTTTTAATTAAAATAAAAGCAACTAACATTCAATTTTTTTTCAGACTGCGTAGAATAGTGAAGCTTGCTCAAAAAATTAAAATAGGAAGAGGATACAAGGAAACGTAAATTATGTGCAATAACAGGAGCAAACTAAAAATTACTGTGTATTTTATCAACAATAAAATTATAGTTGATTATGAAGAATGTAAAGACTGTCTAAATAAAGCTTTTTTAGGTAAATAGTATTAGTATGTCTTTTTAAACACTTATTTTCATAATTCCTTTTGAAGTCAATTAGTTTGTATTTGTCTAAAATAGTAGTCTAGATTACTGAGGTGGCAAACAAGTACACAACCCATGGTGCCATAGAGGTATGCAATTATCAGATTACTTCTGTAGAGGCTGAAATATCAGTAGTATTATTCTGATGATGCTTAACCAAATTTCATGGCAGTATTTCCACTTGAGGTTTGTTGACTACAAAACAGTGGTACCCTACCATGGAATTCTGGAGACTTTACAAATTATTTATATGTAAATGTCATTCTTTTTATCTATTTCGTTGAATGCTATATGTACACAGGAGCTATATGTGGACCTTCAATAGATTAAAAACATTTATCACATAATTACTGCCGTTATCAATAAACAATTCTTAGCCAAGATTGAATAAGTCAGATATATACAAAAGATTAAATATTGAAATAAAAAAGGTGTATTCTTTAAATAAATTTAATATTTTTATATTTACATTAAAGTGCATCTGTGTGGCACAAAGTGTGCGCATAGTGTAGAATTTGATAATTATTTCAACATGGGACGGGTACTAGTCGCATAACATTTGTTGGCTTTGTACTATCACCATTGAGCTTAGAAATCATACATTTGAATATTAATGTGATTTATTTAAATAAAATATATCATTACCCACAATAAATAGAGATATACTAAACAGCATACAATCACACATAAATCATGTAGGAAGTTTAATCATAGAATGATTATAGTTTGCAAAGGCAAAACAATAGTGGAATGAAAGCACCTATAGTAATAAAAACTGGTATAAGTACAGAACTTTCGTCCATAGAGTATGGGTCTGGTTGCTTAGGACCACTAGCACGACGAGATTTAGAACTTTTTTCCTCTACCTCATCTCTAGGTTCTTCAGCTTCATTCTCAGGCCAAACTAGCGGAGGCAGCTTAGGGACTTCGTCTATAGTTCCACGCATAACATACAAAGCATTGATTTTAGGGTTATCCCTGTAACCCTTAATGAATTCAACTTTAATTTTACCTCCTCTTATATCAGATTCTTCTTCATTATAAAACAGTTTACCATTTTTAATTGAGTATGGGACATACTCATCATGAGCGACACCCCGGCCTACTTTATCGAAAATATCCAAATCAGCAACGATCGTGTGGTCACCATTTAAAACCACGTCGAACACTTTCATGTTAGGTGCATTGAAGTAAACTTCACTAAACTTTAGAACTAGCACATAATCCCCGTCTTTGCTTGCTGGTATGTCGTAACCAAAGGTACTATGGTGGTATCTTTCAGTCTGGTATAATATTTCATCCTTAGGATTCACTCTACCTATCATAACAAGTTGTTTACCATAATCCGATGCGGTTCCAATTCTTCCTTGTAATGGATCTTTATCATAATGTACTCCATAAATATCCGTATGTGCAGGGCCACCAGCGTTAATCGCATAGATAATTTCGCCAAGACCCGTCGCAGTTTTTAAAACAGAAAATATAGTAAAAGCCGTATAAAATATTATGTGACACATTTTTTGTCACGACGGCTATATGCTTATTGGTACTCAAATACAAGAAAATGAGTTTTTTGATCACTTATATGCCAGACTGTTCAATAAGCTGAGTTTAATAATACATCATTATTTTAGATTTCTTTCGAACTGGTGAAAACTAAAATTGATATAGTCAGCAACAACCGGCAATCAGAATCCCATGCTATGCCAAATGCTGAATCGATTTTTTTTGAAGTTTTAAGCTTTGGAATCCTGTCTTTTGGTTTAAACCGATATTCTATGCATTACATATTATTGTCATGAATATTAGAAGCTAAGCTAATAGACTTTATAGCATAAATGATCAGATCAGAATAGCACTGTTTTTATAAAGTTTAGTAACATTAATAATTAATTAAGTTTTAATGCATATAATAATTAATAGATAATTAAACACCATTTTGTCAAAATTTACATTTTTTAAATATTAAAATCCAAAGTCACAATATTAAAACTGTACATAAATGTAAACATTAAATGTAGATATATAACTTGGCAGAAACTCTTTGAATTGTATTGGAAATCATAGAAGCCAATTTTATTTATATATTTTTTTTTATGATTCATCTGACAAAATAAGTAGGTACCAATTTGGGATAATACTGTTTGTAAATACGCTTTGTTTTTGCTGTACACAATTCATTAGTCACGTTATTTTTTATACCGTTCACCATTTTTATTCTGCGACGAGTTACAGATTAGCTCAATGTTAATTAGACTTATGTTCATCAGAGCATTAAGTCAACTCCTCCCAATATAAGCTATATATAATACATCATCTGCTGGATTATGCAACTGTTTATAGTTTTTTCATTTGCTACTCACTGTTGCCATTTTTATATAAGTGCAGTGCTCACAATGATTACGTTCTGAATTAAGAACATTGCAAAGTGATGTTACGCTTACCTTTCATCTATACCTAGGTTGTCCAAATTGATTGTAAAAAAAATATTGCATTTATTCTGTAGCTAACAATTTTTGTAGCCACAGAATAAATACAATCATTTTTTTAAATCATTTGTTATAAATGTTAAGCTATGGGATGCAGATCGTGTGGATTGTCTACGAGAGTGGTCTCTTTAGAAAAACAGACTGAAGTGTTGTTACATGTTACGATACTTTTCAAAAGAAAATCTGTAGGGGCCAGATTGTTCGTCTCCTTTTCCCCGTTCAGACAAACCCAAACATGGGAGCATCGATAGATGGCAAAACTAAAAAGTATCACCACTGTGCCGGTCGGAGTGGAAGGTGTTAGCTTATTTTCGTTACGGAATTTCTGGATTCGGTCTCCACGCTCAAGGCCCAAGGTAAATATCAATGCCCTAAGATTCTGATTAAATTCACCCCTACTTTCGCTACCCCAAAACCTTATCAAAATTGCCATATGCCATGCGCTACATTAATTATACAAATAATTCTAACAAATAAACCATGACTTTTCTAAAAATTTTAGGGATTATAATAAAATCTAAATTTTTATAAAGGAGTTTCAACAATTATGTGTAGCGTATGTAATTTTTATGAGGCTTGGGGGTGGGGTTGTTTCTCCGAAACTGCCATTCAGGATCGGATGGCAATTTTTTTTAACGTTCGGTTGTGTCAATAAGTATGTTCACCAATTTTAAAGCGGTTGCCTCACAATTTTATATATTTATTTTTTACATTCGCTAGTGCTATAGCTCCACCCCTATATCACGGCCCCAGTCCACTTGGGGTCAATTACGCTGATATAAGGCGGCTCTGTTCCACTCCAAGCCCCATACTACTACTCATCATCCGGTTGCCTCTCCACAATTGACGTGCCATTGCTTTAACTATTAGTCCTTTTCGCGAAGCATATAACCTGCACATATGCCTCAACATGTGAAAGCTAATTGCATCGTGTATAAGCACCCTTAGCTATATTATCTACTGTAGACTAGATGTCTATCTCTGTCTATCCTAGTATATAAACTAGATGTAGTATTTTATTACGAGCTTTAAAATGAGACTGATTATAATTTATTTTAAATAAAGTGATTTGAATTAGAATCAAGTGAGTGACAACAAGTCGAAATTTATTAATATGTAATTAATAATTATATTTTATGCTGACTTACTTAGATATTTTTCCTAAAACCAAATTTGAAATGAGAGCTAAGCTAGCCGTCTGGCTATGTTATTAAACATGAACGGAGACTTACAACGAACTGTTTTAAGTTAAGTCGGTTATTTAGTTTTGTCGGGCTTTATTAGAATTTATAAGACGTCATCTACTTTATTGTGAGTTGAAGAATGGATTAAACAATATTAGGAAGCAAATCTATAAGGGCATAAAAAATGTTTCGCGCATGGAATGCTACCTATATATACGAATAGTACAGTCAGTAACTGTAGGTATACCAAAGTAGTTTATAACAATTGACGACTGAAAGAGTTAGTTTAGTGTAGGTAATGGTGGAATGATATGCTCGCCGTTGACTTGCTTACTAAGCAACTAACAGTACACTACTTATTGATAAACTACAGCTACCTGATCAAAAGGACACTGGCCCTATACTTTACTGTTCGGAGCATGTGGTCAGTTCAGTGTTTAAGTTATTGATGGCAACGAAAGTTAGGAAAAAAATAAGTCACAGTCACATTGTGATTTATAAACCAGTCTTAATTATTTTCGTTATTTGGTGATGTCCTCATTTACGAAATACTTCCAACAAACAATTATTTACGAACTTGACTAAACAAGAAAGGTCCTTCATATATGAACACACCTGTTAACACAGATTTTTTATGTAATGTAAGTGTAATTAATTAAGCTATACGCATATTACACAGTTAGGTTTGTGACCGCTGAGTTGCAGACGATCATGGGCGGCGATGGTCACTTTCCATCAGGTCTGCTCGTCTGACGCCCTTTTTTTGTATTTTTTCCGTGCGGAAATCCCCTCGGATACCACCGATTACGGTGACATGTCGTCTGCCTTCCCTAACATAAAAAAAGGTAGGTATGTGTGTACATACCTACATAGTACATAGCTTTATCTTATAACATATCTGATGTTAACATATCCTTCTAAATATCGCATACTGGTTTTGAAGTCTATTTATTTTTGTTGTTAATACAATTATTTCATTAAAATTTGATGATTTGAAAATGAACCGTACTAATATTTGGCAAATATGAAGATTCTATTGAAATCATTCTAAATATTTAAACTATTCAAATCCCTGTAGATCTTATTGTTAGAAGTACAATTTGATAAAATACGCTACTATCATACGCCTACTATAGAGCTGCCAAACTGCTAAATCACAGATCGGAACATTTGCAAACCATGACCATGGATAAACCAAGGACAAATGCAAAAGCTAAATTAATATTAAACTTTAGTCATATATATTGCTTTAAAACATATATCACTATTTTTAAAAGGCAAATTTATTTGAAAATCGATATTACGACCTTAAATGTCGTTTATCTGAAGGTTTAAAAATCGTATACGTTAAATTGAAAAAAAATCTTAGAATTTACAAAATAAAAAAGGAAATTTTCATGCTTTTCCTTGGTTTTGAGAGTAGTTGTGACTGAGAACGAAAATAAAATATAAGTGTATAATTATTACTAATTTGATTAGATGATCAGAGCGTTGATTAATAATAATGGTTAGTAATTTTAATATCTAGGGTAAGTTCTTATTTTTATATGACTTTTACGTTGTGTGGGTGAGTTTGTAGGTTAGGTATGTACCTATTGCGCGTTTTATACCTTGGATGAAGTTGTATGAAGCTTGAATGAAAGGTTGATAAGAGTAAGACCACGTCACGCGTATCGCCTATTTCCCACTTGATCATGGAATTTAAGTTCATTTATTTTAATATAATGAAATAAATCTTAACTGAAAGCATAACTCCTTAAATTTTCGTATTATTTGCCCGACACAACCAATCTGTGGAACGGGTTATCGTCTGCGGTATTTCCGGACCCATACAACCTTCCAACCTTCAAGAAAAGAGCGTACTCCTTCCTATAAGGCCGGCAACGCGTTTGTGACTCGCGTGACTGTGACTAACTGTGACTTAGTTGTAGATGTTCATGGGTGGCGATGGTCACTTTCCATCAGGTGACCCGTCTACTCATCTGCCCCCTCTAACATAAAAAATTAAAAAAGCCAAAAAAAATTGGTTGCCTGTAAAGTCGGTATACGGGCGAAAGTTTTACGTGACAACGACTTTGAGTGGTAAAATAATTTTAATGTGAATATTCATTCGTATAGTAGGAAGAAGGATGAAATAATAGTAACAATTTAAAAAATATAGAATTATATTTAAAAAAGGGACGCGTGCCTTTCACTTTTTATGTCTGTCTCTCTCGCTCTTAGGCGGGCTAACCATGCCCGAGTGGAAGGGACGCGTGCATCTCACTCGCTCTCATTGTGAGCGCATAACGTGAGCGGAGCGTAACGCAGTTTCTTGAAGTGTCACCCGGCAAACCAATTTATAAGACGTTGTCACGTCAAAACGAAAACCAAGAAGCGTTCCTCCTTAATGAGTGCTTCCAGATGGCCAGTTGCCAACAAAATTAAAAAGACCGCGGAATATTCTCATGATTGATAAGAAACTCCACAGTTTGTTTACATTACACACATAATTATTGTGATACTTACACAGTATGCCTAAGCTAATTACAGAGTATCATGACATTTTGTTGGCACTTTGACTAAGGAGTAAAAATAGCTAAAAGAAAAAATCTTTACGAAAAGAAAAAAAAACAGAAAAAACAACACAAAATAATAAACTTAAACAAAAATAGGTTCTAAACCAGATACTTAATTACCGGTGAGTATCTTCACGATTTCGCCGCGATAGGATTTCTTTGCCAATATAAATATGTCTATACTTTCGAATCTCTCAGTGTACGAGTATGTGTGAACTAGCCGGGCCGCCATAACAGCATTTCTACCATAATTGGTGCGATGGAAAGGTACGTTAAACAAATGCGT